CCCCTCCCCCTCAAAAAAAAAAAAATGGTCCAGCCCTTAGTAAAGTAGTTTCAGTGAAAACTTAAAGTTCAAAGAGTGTACCAAAACATGGTTCTTACTTCGCTTGCAGCTGTCGAGGTATGCACTGTCTGATCACTATCAAACAATCTAACTTTCCAAAACTGGACGGAATTACAGAATCAATCCATAACTATTAATAGCCATGTTCCTACCTGTAGTTCATGCGAGTTATGCTTTGCCAGTTGTCAAAATTCAGCGAAAGGGCTGACCGTGATTACTGCATGCAAAAAGAAAACAAAGAAAACAAACAGCATAGCTACAGTGCTGGGAGGACTGTTATCCTTGCTCAAAGAATCGCCGGACAATAATATAGCATAAAATGCTGTTATATACAACAAATACAGAAAGGGACGAAGCCTCTGCCGCAGCTTTACACTTCTGTCGAAAATTGTTGATTTTTCAGTTGTTTCGGCTTTGGTATTATAGCCGCTGTCCCTTTGATAAGCACCTCACCGCTAATGTAATCAGAAACAGCTGGCCAAATACAAATTTTAATTGTTGGCGTCTTTTCTTTAACTTCCTCTTCTTCTTTTTCAAAGAACTCGTTAAATCTCTCGCCGTGGACTTGACTTACCAAAACGATCTTTAATGGTGGAAGTAGGTTTACCATTCGCCAGGCAATCCTCACGCACTCCGTGATGTAACTCGTCATTTTTGATATTATTCCATCGTCAAGGAGTGGCAGCCAGGGCTCACTTTTTCTCCACAGATCGTGATGTTTCTTCAATTCTTTAAGCACTTCCTGTTGAAATAATATAAGTAATAATTAACAATATTAGTTTATGAGCTCGAGATCTCTATCGCATGATAGTTGACGAGGGCGCAGTCCAAGTCAGCTATCACCGGATAGCAATCGAGCGCAAAAAAATCTTACTGTTTCAGTATAAATCTACTAGTCGCTCAAAACTATATCTAAATACTCTTTACAGACACGTCGAAAACGCGGCCGTCATTTTGTTAACAACCGCACACTACTAGGCTACTCGCTATAAGTCGCTATCTTCTAAGTAATCAGATTATTCAACTATCATCCATAGAAATCGAGAGCGAATAATCTAATTGTTTTAGTATAAAATCTACTAGTCGTTTTAAACTTTATCTAAATCCTCTTCACAGACACTTCGAAAATGCCAAGAAGTGGCCGTCATTTTGTTAACAAGCGCACACTGCTACGCTACTCACTATCATCACAGAATAGATAGTGAGTAGCGTAGCCAATCAGAGAACGGCATTCGTGATAGAACGCTAGTAGATTTATACTCAGCCGATAGTTCCTCGACAGAAACACTCTATTCACAGGGAGCACACGATCTTGTTGAATAGGAAGAGAGTTATAAAGCAATGAAAAGAATATACAATTTACCTTAGTCTACTCTTGTCATTTCTTACACGACAACCGCTGCCTACAAGTCCTACGTAACACTGTAGCGCTAAACTCGTACCTAGGCCTTTTCGCGCTCCGCAAAAGTTTTTTTCGTTTACATATAACATTGACAAGGGAGGTAACTCTTTGCCCAAACATTTTGAGCACAATCCGAACATTCGCTATAATCTCTAAATTCCATTTCCTCCGCAAAACCAAACAAACACAAAACGAAGTCGAAAGATTTTTCTACAACTTGGCCGAATTTGTTTTCGAATACTTTCACGACAGTCGTAGAATTTTAGCGTCTTTTGCAAAGGTTTTTCTCAAATCGCTTTTCGCAACATCATCGTACCGTTGAATCGGTACCAATCGCGTCATCCAACGCGCACTCAAGCTCCCCTCTATCTCCCACACGTGTTTTTTTGACACGACAAATCTTTACAAAATCCTTCCCCAGCTCTCAATTTTAAGGTTATTCCNCAGGATGGCGCAATTTGTTCTAAAAATAGAAAAATTGTCCCATATCATAGGTGCGCGCGGATCCCAAAACGTACGGTCTCCGTCCCCGATTATGGCTCCTGCTAATAGCTATTACTACATCGACCAAAGCATCCCGCATGAAAGCCTTTGGGTTTCTAGTCTATTAATAGAATCTCGACTCGCCGCGTAATTGACGAATAATTTAAATAAAAGTACACTTTTCACGCAGGAGTTCATAAATCTATTTTGTGAGCCTCAAATGAACATTATTCTTCTTCGCTCCACAGTCAACAAATCCCATACCTTTTCCATGTCTGTTAGATCACAACTGACCGCCATTTCTTTAAGCACTGAGCAACAATTGACTTTGAAGGACTCGGTCGAAAGCACAGACTCCATTTCCCTCGAGAGGGATTGCTGCATGCTTCTCTGAATAACCTGTGATGCCTGTGTGAAAAACATTGACAGAGATTCACATGCGGTTTGAGATACTCTCAACTCTTTAACGTTGTAAGCAGATAGAGAGAGGTTTTTATTTATATTTGTTTACAGTTGCTGGTTTGTGCATTTGTGTTCAGTATGTGATTTTTGATTTACCTCTAAGGAATTATCTCCTCTATCTTCATAAATTCCAATAGTTGGTGCGCACTGGAACAATTTCGGCAACGCCTTTTGATTAAATGCATCCCTAGTGCATCTTGCAATATCATATGCAATCTGAAAAAAAAAATCGTATTTTCTAACAATGTTGAACAAGAATAACACAGTGTTAATAAACTGGAGATGGGTTAGACTCTGCTATGAATGCCCTTTTGTAACCTTTGGATTTCCATGACTCGCGAGTCCCGGAACCGCCGTCCTCTTGAATCAACTAATTGCAAGAGTTCTTACGGCCTACCAAGATAACAAAACAAACGTTTCTCTGTATTAAAAAACAAAAGATATAGAAATGTTTGCCTGCAAAAACTAGGAGTCGTGGTTTCCTTTTTTTGGACGAATTTATACATTATGCCAGCTTTTAATGCTTTTGGCTCTCAATCTTTGAAAAACGGGTAACTGACTGATATCGCCGATTACAGATATCCGGCCTATTGCATAGTTGAAGGTTTACTTATCAGAGTTATTAATTACCACAAATATTCTGCATGTCAAATCTTTCCTGTACCATAGTTCTGTCCTTTTTGGCTGCTTTCCAAATGCTTCGATGGCTTGTCGACGTTTGGTACCGTCCATCGCCTGATATTTGTTCAAGACATCACTACGCTTGTTTCTGCTGTTGACATCTTCAGAATTGCTTTGGTAACTGCGGTGATTTATCTCTGAATCGTTACTCATCCTGTTTTTCAGACGATTGAGAAACCATGATGAAAAAGCTACGAGAAACCGATATACACTCCTGACCTATACACTGACCTACGTATATGACGTGTTCTCAAAGCTCAAATGAAAATGTTTTCAACATACCTTTGTCGTAAACTCTCATTTTCTTGTATTAGTCGCTCGTTCGACGATTTAAGTTCACAATAATCGTTGTAAAGTTTGTCGAAACCTTGATACTTCTCCTTTGCTATCTTAACCGCGGTGTTGTTGGCCTCCAAGAAGCTGTTGAAATCAGTTTTCTGTGATCTTTCGGCCATTTCCGACGCTTCTACGTGAATTGGGGTATCTTCTGGATGTTGGGGGTTGATTTGTTGGTGTCGAACCAAACTACATTCACCTGGAGTTGTGGAACACTGTCCCATACAAATTTGTAATTTGGACCCTTCGGTTTAGCGTCGATAACATTACATTCAGAGAAATTCAGTACGCAATGTCTTTGTTTACTTCTAAGAAACAGGGTGTGTCATTTCTAGTGGACCTAATTATTCATTAGCTTTGTAACCACAATAGACAAGAATGTAAACGTGGTAGCCCTGCATCATTCGGGGAGCCCGCAACTACATAGACTTAGCACATCTGAAGTCAGCAAAAAAATGGAGCATTTATGACCGTGTATAAATAGTCCCGGTTTCAAGGATTAAGAACTTCTTTTCATCGCTCAATGCCCGCTTCTCATATACCTTTCGTAGTGAATATTGGCTGATCTTGGATAACATGGCGTCTCGAGCTAAAAGAGATGTAATCATTGCGATCGACTTCGGTACAACCTACAGCGGGTTTGGATACGTTTTCCCAAATGCATCCGAAGATCATATCTACGTCTTTCAGGACTGGGGAAGAGGACAAGGAATNGTGTAAAGGACTGACATCGTCGATTACAGATATCCGGCCTATTACATAGTTGAAAGTTTATTTATCAGACTTATTGATTACCACAAATATTCTGCACGTCACATCCTTCCTGTACCATAGTTCTGGCCGCGAATCTGTACCGTGACTTTTTGGCTGCTTTCCAAATGCTTCGATGGCTTGTCGACGTTTGTTACCGTCCATCGCTTGATATTTTTGCAAGACATCACTACGCTTGTTTCTGCTGTTGACATCTTCAGAATTGCTTTGGTAACTGCGGTGATTTATCTCTGAGTCGTTATTCATCCTATTTTCCAGACGATTTGAGAAACTATAGTGAAAAAGCTACAACAAACCGTTATACACTCCTGACCTGTACACTGACCTACGTATATTACGCGTTCTCAAAGCTCAAATGAAAATGTTTTCAACATACCTTTGTCGTAAACTCTCATTTTCTTCTACTAGTCGCTCCCTCGACGATTTAAGTTCACAATAATCGTTGTAAAGTTTGTCGAAACGTTCATACTTCTCCTTTGCTATCATAACCGCGGTATTGCTGGCTTCCAAGAAGCTGTTGAAATCCGTTTTCTGTGATCCTTCGGCCATTTCCGACGCATCTGCGTGAATTGGAGTATCTTCTAGATGTTGGGGGTTGATTTGTTGATGTCGAAACAAGCTACATTCACCTGGAGTTGTGGAACACTGTCCCATGCAAATTTGTAGTTTGGACCCTTCGGTTCAGCGTCGATAACATTACATTCAGAGAAATTCAATACGCAATGTCTCTGTTTATTTCTAAGAAACAGGGTGTGTCATTTCTAGGAGACATAATTCACATTCATTAGCTTGGTAACCACAATAGACAAAAAGGTAAACGTTGTAGTTCTCCATCATTCGGGGAGCTCGCAACTACATAGACTTAGCAGATCTGACGTCAGCGAAAAAATGTAGCATTTAAGACCGTGTATAAATAGTCCCGGTTTCAAGGATTAAGAACTTCTTTACATCGCTCAATGCCCGCTTCTCATATACCTTTCGTAATGAATATTGGATGATCTTGGATAACATGGCGTCTCAAGCAAAAAGAGATGTAATCATTGCGATCGACTTCGGAACAACCTACAGCGGGTTTGGATACGTTTTCCCAAATGCATCCGAAGATCATATCTACGTCTTTCAGGACTGGGGAAGAGGACAAGGAATTAGTTACAGTAAGACGCCAACAGCTCTTCTCCTGAAGGAGAATGGTGAGCTGCACAAATTTGGACATGCAGCAGTGGAGATGTACGGCAAACAAGCAATGTCACAAAAGGACTGTAAAAAGCTGTTATATTTTGAGAAATTTAAATTGCTGCTTCATTCGGAAGAGGTACGTTTCTTTACTTTCTTGCACATAAATTGTTCTCGTATACACATTTAAGTGTTTCCGGGTCAACAAATCGAAACTGAAAGGGAAACTTTTGCATTGACCTCCACACGACATACACCCTTAATTTTTTGGATTCGGAAGCCGTGGAATGCGAAAACAACAAAATACTGGTATTGAGTATTAATCAGGATTTCAATCAGGATTTTTAACGTTTATGGATGCACGGAATCGTGTGGCTCTGTTATTGTGAAAGTCGAAAAGTCTTGAACACAGTAATTTGATTTTGACATGTGGATTGTGTAGCCACCAAACAGATGCGAGATAAAACCCGCAAACAAAGCAAACAAATTAACGGTGTCTGCATCAGTCACGAGACCACACTTTGATCTTTCTTTTTTCGTTCCGTAAAATGGCTGTTACCCTGTAGTTTTATAAGTACTAATTTTACCTGTGTTCTATTTGTGCAAGCAAATTGGAAATTCGAGCAAC